TGATATAAGTCTAAAATATTACTGAGAAAGGTGTACATGTTATCAGTTAAATGACTTATCTAGCTGGGCAAGTAGAGACCCACACAGAATAGGGGATCTAACATATTTGGAATTTTCCAAGTGCACAATGCATTTATGTTACTAATTAAAAGAAGTTTATAATGCTACCTGACACACATAAGAACATTAGTACAAGAAAAAATATCACGACAATGAAGTATTGCAACTGTTGTTCTGACCCTGAGACTTAAAAATAATTAAGAAGGAAAGCTTACTTTCTACATTTTCAGTCTTGGTCAATGTGGCTACTGGGTTCATTGATGCTTGCCAAATCTTGCAAAATTATAGTACTCCTATCCATGCGGTTTCTAAAACTATAAGCTTCCATTGTGAATAAGCTTGATTTTCTGCTTTAGAAATCCGTCAACTACTAAGAGAGACGCAACAAAGAGCCCAGGTGCACGCACCAGGAATCAAGTTCTTCATTCATTTTAATTACAGTTCAGCACAAGTTGGAGAGGTAGGTGAAGAAGTATCATCATAAAATGTTCATTAGAAACGGCACATTTCTATCGGGGAAACAGAAATGGCATCCTTTAACTTGTTCATCTGCAAAGTCCCTCCAAATGTGTATTACACCTCTGTAATCATATGCAAGCCACATTTAGGCTTGTGGCTCGGCCCAGAATGTTTAAAGAGGGGAGAAAGGAACGGAATAGGAAATAGAGTTAGCAGTGAAAGAGGAACACCAGATGAAGTTTTTCAGACGTTGTGGACCTGTGTGAACAGCTCCTTGTACTTACTGTTTAAGCTGTTACCCCCTAGCAGGGAGATTAGTTATCTTCTTAGTCATTTCAAACGCCATTAAATGGGTATGAGGGAGGGAGGGAAGGAGGGAAGGGGGAGGGAAAGATTTTTATGTGTGTGTCTGTGAGTCAGCAGAAGCCGGAAGCCTTACAGAACTACTTCAAACAACAAGCTGGAAAGGAGGACAACAGCATCCACCGCCCCCCCCACCCCCGACGGTGAGAAATTGCATTATCCTAAGGGATCACGGCCACCCGTGTTCAGTGTAGATAAGTGAGAACCTTCTCTGCTCTGGCCAATAGGAGACTTGCAGCCACAGCTGCTCACAGAAGCTCTGGGTGGCCTCTATTCCAGCCGCTCCAAATGGTTTCAAGGCAAAAAACACTGCAGCTGGGTGGTGCGCAGAAGCACAGGGGGTGGGAGGAGAGACTAACAAAGCAGAGGGGTGGCGCCTTGCATCCCCCCACCAGGTGCTCTAAATCCTCTCTCAGGGCTTAGGAAAATCACACAGAGGTCTCAAGGCTGATTCCTAAGGCAGCTGTGTCAGAGCTTGCCTCACCGCCACTCCACAACAATAAACTGAAACGTTGCCTCAGAGACTCCAGAAACTGGGGAGATTTCCCTGCCAGGCAGCTCTTAGTGCTCTAGAAGCAATAGTATAATTTATGCAACTTGGCCAAAGAGCAGGCCATTCCAAATCCAGTCATGAAGAAGAAAGAAGCCTTGCCACACACCCTACACCGCAGACACAAAGTCCCTTGAGACATTCTCTTTAGACTCAGGCAAATCTGACCAAGAACTTACATTTGCATTAAATTTTACATTAAAAAAATGTATTAACTGTCCTCTGAGAGAGAAAAAACTTAACAGTTGAGGAAAAGTATATGAAACTTACAGTATAAGCTCACTTTGGGGTACTGTCATTTGCATGGAAGAATTATCCAAATGAAAACATTTATTTCACTTATGAATAAGTACCTGCTGTCCAATTTATAGTATTTCTTACTTTCTTTACTTTCTTAGATTTTTCACTGTCATGGGTTGTATGTATTTTTAAATGTTTTCACATCTCTAGCTAATGTCTATATAGTATGTTCACCTGACAAGTTAGTCAAAACGTATAAGGTAATATCTCATATATAAAAGAAGCTGAAACTCATATATGCATATAGTCCCCTGACCAAGTAACACCTTTGCAGAATCCAGTTTTGCATATAAATTATTTTGAAAGAAGGTCTAGTTTTATTACACAAAGTATATTCTATATACTTATTACATAACAGTATATTTTTTATGGTGTGTGTGTATATAAAACAAATGATTATAGGATGGAAAAAATAGAGGAGTAATACTAAAATCGGAACACTGGCTCCCGTATGAGTACTGAGAATAATATTTCATGTAAAACCAACGTGGGTATAGATGTTAAATATTAAAATTAAGTCATCTGGCATCTCGATCACTGAAAGGCTGAAGAGAGTTTCCACTCATCCCCTGATTTGCTATGGGGCCTACATCAAGTTGTGAGATGCTTCTGTTATAATATCTGCAAAATGGAGATAACACTTCACGCCACCTACCTCAGAGAACTGTTAGAAGATTAGATACCAAAAAGGAAAATCCACAAAGCCCTTTGAGTTTCTCATAAATATAAGATATGCAATGTAGTAAAATACCAGCACTTTCCACAAAACTCCTAGAAATAGGAAACAGACACCAGCAATACAATAGGACAGAGACCTTACAGGGCATAACATTTAAGATCAGGGAGGCAGTGGGCAATTCTGTCTCCAGCTTCCAGTGAAAAGACTGGGGTAGGGAGGGCAGGAGGTGGGGAGGGACGCTAATCAAACAAAACGAAGCATCCAGGGAAAGGAAAAAATAAAAAAACAGTAATGTTTCGACAGATCGCCAATAAATCAAAAGCAATCCTGACAAAATTCCAAATTATTGCTTAAAGATCTAGACTACAAGAAGACAATCAAGTGACATTACTCTCATAGTTTTTCACGTTTGGTAAAGTCTCATATTATAGTAAATTAGTTCCACAGAGGGTTAAGTATAATGCCCCCTCACAGTGAATAAAATTTAAGTGCAGAATACATAAATTAGAGCATTTTTAATCAATTTGTACCAGAAACAGAAGCCAAAATGAACTGCACGTAGCAAACAAAAACAACAACAAAAAAAACAATAACTTTGGGGTTCATAGGAAATTGAGAGATTATTAAATATTCATATAGCCTAAGATTCTGAATTATGGAAAATCTGAAATTGATCAATTAAACATATTTATTATATTATATATTATTATATCAAGCACTTATTGTGGTTCGTATGTGAGGTTAAAATAAAAAAGTAAGTACTACCCTATTCTTGGTTCTCATGAAACTCAAAGTCTATCAAGGAGGAAATATAGACACAATAAAGTAAAATACAACGGGTTCGAATCAAGTATAAACGGTGCTGAGGAAGAAGAAAGGGAAGAACTAATTTTACATGGAAATGGAGAGAGGGGCACAGTTCAGGAAAGTTTCAGTGAATATGACACTTGGACTGTGCACAATGAACACTACTTCCTCAAATACAGAAGAAGAGAAAAGGGCATCCTAGACTAGGAAACAGCAGCCCACATCTCAGGGCGCGTCTCGGTATGTCCTGGTCAAATGAAGCACAATGGAGACAATCTGGGAGGATCTGAACTGCAAGGTCTTTATGGGAGGCGGGGAGGGAAAGGAGGAGAGGGGGAGAAGGGGAGGCAGAGAGAGAGAAGTAGCATCACAAGATATTTTTGAAAACAGACTTGATATTTTATGTAACTCAATATACGAGACAGATGAAATAAACAGGAGCAGGGCAAATGGTACCCGCCCTGGCATGAGACAGACTCTTGGGAAATGGACAGCACTGCTGAGGCCAATTCTCCAGGTGCAGGTGAGGTGGATAGGAAGCATGCTGCCAACAGGCTTGAGTAGTTTAACTATGACCAAGGAATGGTGAGAACCAGGGATTGAGAAGCAGCAGGTTCAAATCAAGTGAGTACAACTCAGTGCAATAGGCTGAACAAGAGCCTCCAAAGATAACAGGTCTTAATATCTGGAACTTTTCTATGGCAAAGGTTTTGCAGATGTGATTAAAGATTTTGAGATGGAGAGATTATTCTGGATTATCCGGTTGGGCCCTGAGTGCAGTCACAAGTATGCTTATCAGAAGGAGGCAGAAGGGAATTTGACTATAGACAGGAGAGGAAAAGCAATGTGACCATGGAGGTGGATAATGAAGTGATGCAGCCACAAGCCAAAGAATGTCAGCAGCCACCAGAAAGAAGCTAGAGAAGACAAGGAACAGATTCTCCCCTAGGCCTCTGGAGAGAGTACATCCCTGTCAACACCTAAATTTCAGTTGTTTTAAGCCACTAAGTTTGTAGTAATTTGTTTCCTGTCAACACCTGAATTTCAGTTATTTTAAGCCATTAAGTTTGTAGTAATTTGTTACAGTAGTCAAAGGAGACTAGTATTTATAGTGAGCAAAGACCCATCTCCCAGGTGTTCTTACATGTCACAATCATCAGTTCTAATCAGTTCAAAGACCCGTCTCCCAGGTGTTCTTACATGTCACAATCATCAGGAATAATGCAGATAGAAGGGAGGGACCTCAACTATCAAAAAGCTGAAGCCTTAAAGGAAAGCTATATTATTCAACTGAGTAACTGGCCAAAATTTAGCCAATAGGACCCTAGTAAAACTCCAGACTAGGTCAGAACCAGATGGAAGAAGAACTGCAAGGGGCAGCAGGTAAATGACGACAACAATCTTTGAAGTACGAAGCCCAAAAGAAAAGATTCCAGCAGAACAGAGAGAATGAACATGTCTCTGGCTATACTAAGTTTAAGGTATTGGTGGGTCATGCCGGGGTGACAGCCAGAAGTCAATGGAACTCTGAGATCTGAAACTCAGAAGGTCAAAAACATTGGAGTGTTTGAAAAAGTTAACTGTAATGTGCTCTTTCGTCTTCTCCCCTCAAACTCATCACTATGAAAGGAATCCAAAAAAAGTCCCTAAACTTTCAATATTCTAAAATCAATGTTCTTGAACTATACTCATACCACTCACTCCTAAGGAAAACCTTACATTAGCAACACTTAAAAGTAAACATATTAGAAATTTTCTAAGAAGAGAAAAAAAAAATCTTACCATTAGCCATTTCTCTTTTTGTTAGTTTTGAGGCTATCTGGTGAAATGGACAACAGAGAACAACTATCCGTGGATCAGAGGCAGTTGAGCAGGATGTCCCAGGAGGACGCCAGGGATGACCTGGTGATGGAAAAGAAGGCACAGTATTGAGATTGTGGGCGACATCAAGTTAGACTCTGCTGGAGCAGTATATACATATCCTACAAAGAAAGAAAGGAAAATGAATATGTTCACTAACATGGACACCTGGGAAAAAAGCTGAGGAAAAAAATTAATAGACACAGATTTATCTGGTGAAGAAATGTATGCTAATCAGGTGCAAAAGACTCATTTGTGCCCTACAGCTGTAGATTCTCTATTTTCTTTTCCACCAGAATGTTCAGGTGTACAGTGCTCTATTGCAGAATGCAAGCAGCTCACCTTCTAGCCAGTGATTTATCATGGCTGGTACTAGCTGAAATGTGAAAATGGCTTAGAGGGGGAGCATCTGAAGTTCCAGATTAGATAGTCTGACAGGGAAGGCAGCAAGGTGTAATGCAAAGATGCAAAGGACTATGATATAAAATCCCTGTCCTCAACCAATTATGTGTAAAGATAAACAAATTTCTTTACCCTTATAATGGAGACCATGGAGGTGCAGAGATGACAATGAAATAGCACCTGTATCTTAATAAGTTTTTAGACAAAAAAAGACTAACAAGTAGCCATAGTAACTAAAAGACCTAGTAAAATATGTGTAAACAAACATGAGCAAATCAGATCTTATTTGTAGGACCTATTGTGGAAATACACATTAGTATCTCTGTTTAAACTTTGAAAGTCATGAGAAGTCCAGGGAGAGTGTTGCTATTCCAGAATGGAGGATATTATCGACAAAAGCCAAAAACATGCCCCAAAATAATCACACCATTTGCATAGTACTTATACGAATGCTGCCTCATAACATCTCGTCTGATTCCTAGCAGAGCCTTACATATGTTGACTCTCCCAAATTTTAACCATGGATTCATCCAACATTTAATTTCTACTATATAAATCATTCTGATGAGAAATATACACATAAGCAATAATATCTGCCCTTAGGGAGTTAAAAACTATTTAAGTGGAAAATATGAAACATGGAAATATAAGAATGGAAAACATAAAATGGAAATATAAAAAATAAGTAACAGTTAAATATTCATACTAGGCAAGAAATGAGAGAGAAAATAAGGATTTTGAGTCTTTAAGTGAAAGGGGATATATGAAAGAAAATGGGAAAACATGAGCTGAAGCTCGTGAATTAAAAAAAAAAAAGATACTTGAGTGGAGATATGGGAGAAGGAGATGCCAAAGGATTGGAACAAAAGAAGTTAAAAAAAAAGAGCCTGGAATGACGGAAGTTATGACACTAAGCATAAAAATAAATTGTGGCTGCAGAACAGAAGATGTTACGGGCAAATGATGGTAGGGACAAGTGAAGACAAGCTGATTGAAGAGTCTGGGCTTTACTTAGAACCACTATAAGCGTGAGATCAGGAGTGAAACATAAAATATGGGCTCTAAACAGAAAGCTATGGAGGGAAGAAAGGACTGAATATCTTTGTCTTAGAGGCTAGTTAGGAGGCTATTATAGTAATCGAGGCATGAAGCCACATGTTCTGACCAGGGAGGAAGTAAGGGGAAAGAAGGATGGCTGGGTAAAAAGAGTACTAATGAAGAATTAAAAGGTCTGAGTGACTGCATAAAGAGAATAAAGAATAAGGAAAAGTTGCCTGGGATAACACCTCGGTAACCGGAAGAATGAGAATGTCACTAACAAGGCATGGGGAGAGAAGAGGTGGGCAGAGTTTGAAAAATTATTGTTGTGAAGATACTGAGTTTGAAGCGCGAATGGAATAACCTGGATGAAATACCACCAGGAGGGGTGAGAGCAAATGTGAGCACTGCAGACTGAAGATACAGGGTTAGAAGTCATCACTCTGGGAAGAAGTTGAAATAATAATACAGGCCTAGAGAAATCATTTGTAGAAAGAATTCAGGGGCTATGGACTGAAAAGATTTTGGAATTTCTCAAACACATCACAGCTTCTGATTTTAGTGGCAAACTATCAGGAAAAATTCTAAACCAGAGAAGTTGCAAATACTTCAGAGATGAGATTGGACTTATACAGGGAACATATTTCTCAAAATATTTCAAAGACAAACAGCCAACAAGCAAAAGTCATCCTAAAATATCAAACTGTCAATTCTATGGTCAGTAATGGCATTAAAGAAAGTTCTGTGGAATTTAGCTATGTAAATAAATTATGGTTAACTAATAACCTGATTTTTAATCACTTAACGCCATGACCAAAAAAACCACCAATGTCACCAACAGGTATGTCAGGTCTGGTACTCTTCGTGCTCCCTCTCCCCTAACCTTTGACAACAGCAGTAACAGACACTGACATACATATGTGTGGTTTCTTAGGACCATAAACATGGCTAACTTTAGTGACAAAAAGCCACAGAAGGTTTCTGAAACTAAGAAGGTAAAAACCAAACGTCTTCTCAGGTTTTTTTTCAAGCTTCTGGTAGAGAACACAAGGAAGTCATTTCTAAAGGTACATAGAGAATTCTGAAGCTTGCCATTAATTGGGGAAAAATGATATGGCTACTACATACAAATAACAACATACAACAAGACAAGTCCTATCTTCCAATTAAAGATGTCCCAGTGATATTACAAACAAAAAAAATTACACGGCCCTCCTGCCTCATTTCTTCCCCTTACTGTAGAAACCCACCAAAAATAAAAAGGAATCCATTTTTTCAAACGATAAAATCTAAAAGCAAAGCCTAACATCTGATACTAATTTGTTGTGTAATAATGGCTAACATTTATTTAATACCTATTATATATCTGGTACTGTCCTAAGTTCTTAAATATCTATTAAAAACATATGTGATAGGTATTACCACTAAAGCCATTTTACATAAGGAGAAACCAGGGCCCAGAGAGGCTGAGTGAGTTGCCCAAAGCTACGTCCTTAGTATGAAGTGGAGCCAGGACTCGAATCCAACCAGAAGGATTTCAGTGCCTCACACTCTACCTTCATGCTGTCTGTCCTGTTTCTCAAATACATGCTCTCACACCACATGTCCTATTAACAAAAAAAAAAGTAAACTATTGTTGAAAGACAGTAAACACTGTCTATGACATAAGTGTTTCATGATTATTTCAAAAATCTCCAAGAGTACCAGATACAAACAAACCAAAAGAAAATAGCAACACACATACACACACACTGACACACACATACATTCTAAAAATAGTCTAAAAAAAAATATTCCAGTTGGATTTAGAGAAACTTCTGACTATTTAGGGTGACCAAAAAAAAAAAAATAGATACGACAAAACAAGTTGGAAACACTCACTCCTGGACATCTATTAAAAAAAAAATAAAGCAAAAACAATTCTCCTGAAAGACACACATTTATCTACTTTTTAAAGTAGAGTTTGGACTAAATGCAATATTGCTTTTAAGAAAACTTCAGTATTTGTTATGCACTTTAATTTTTCTCTCATTGTCCCTGACTGCAGTCTAAATCTTCATTTAGAAGAAATTATACAAACATCTGGAAGGTGATCCTTGGTAAGCCTGACAACTTTCATTAACTATTGATCATTCAACCTATATTTGTGAAGAATAAATATTAACTGAAGGCCTTTACAACTAACTAGTTAATTGTATTTTTGATTCTGCTTAACATTTCTCTGAATCCAATGTTCTCATCTGACTAATTTTACCCAAGACATATTTATTTGCTACCTTATTTCAAAACTTAAAGGAGGAGAAAATAACCCTAAAAATAGCTATTAAAAGGCAGAGAAGAAAGCAACCAAGGATTTATTGAAGAAATGCAGTTGTCCATGTGATTCTATTTCAAATATGGGTAGAGGAGGAAACAATTTTTGGATTCACTCTCCCATGATCCTGTGATAATCCAGAGTTGAAAATATATAACACAAGCATTAGGTATGTCACATGGTTCTACCAGACCAAATTGTTACTATGGAGTTTTAAGAGCCAGGTGCTAGAAACAGCATTAAAAGCTTTATCGACAGCTGCCAGAGAAACTGGAAACCACCTCAGTCCCACCATGTCCTTATCTATTATATGAGGTCCTAGTGAATCTTTTCTTCAACACCGTGGTGGTGTGGAGAATGCTACAGGAAATGTGGGTGGTTATGTTTCTCTCCCTGGCCCCACACCTCTTACAGTACCTAATGCCCAAAGTAGTGCTAATGTCATTGGATAAATGAGATTAACGAGGAAAAATTCTTTAACACTCAGTGTTAATAATGAGAACAACAGAAGTCAGAAGCTCAGCACTTAGATTTTTTTAAATGCTAAATTAAAAACAAAAAACAAAAAACAAAAACCCTCGAATCTGGTCCTATAAGTGACTCTGGGATTCCATGAAATTTTAAGACTTCTCTGTATTTTAAAAATCAGCCGCTTAGATCTATACCTAAGAGAATAAAAAACTGCAGGCAGATGTAAGTGGTATAAAACTTTAAGTCATACTTTCTCATTATTGCCCTCTTCAGAACTCTTTTCTTAATGCCTCATTCTATACAGAACAGTCTGAGCCAGTGTTTCCCAAACAGAAAACAGAATTAGCATGCATGGTGGTTATGGGTATTCTGGGAAACAAAGGTTCTGTGCTCAGATTCTTCCTTCTCGAGAATACGCAGTATAAATTAGTAAATTCAAAACTGAGAAGTCTATAGAAACTTTGTGAAGTGTTTCCTAAGTTTACTTGGCCACAGAATGCATTTTCACAGACATCTCATAGGATACCAGGATTGCACAGAATACAGCTTGGGAAACATCACTCTAAAGACTTAAGAATTTGACCCCAAATTGCTCTTAATCATATCAACATACATTCACAACTCTGATGAGCAATGCAGAGCTCATATCCCAGTTTCCTCCACGGAAAGTCTTCCCTCCAGTCAAGTCCATTTCTTCCCCAGGTCCTAAACAGACATTTGCTCCACTGCTTTGTTCAGACCATTCCCCGTGCTAGAATCTTCAATCTTTTAATTCATTTTAATGTCTCAGCACTTAAGATAAAACCCGACCTCCTAT